TTGGTGAAAACTGGATTATGGGAATCATTTTACAAATGGTTTTTGTGTTTTCTTCTTTGAGATCCAATAGGTTTCATTGGTCCAGGATCTCCTTTGTTAGTTTTTCAGTTTGACACTAGCAACATTTGTATACTGTGAATTTGGACTACACTGTTACAAAGAGTGACAGTAGGAGTTTCTTCTTAGCTGATTCTTTCTGCTTCTATCTCTTAGTGATGGCGGACTTCATTGTATTTCCCAGGTCAATGAGCAGTGTTCTCCTAGTCTTCATTTCACAAGGTGATTTTTTTTTTTTTTTTTGAAGCCCTAGCACATAGCCATGAGGCCTTTCTATCCCAAGTCTCTGAACTTCTTGACCTCTCCTTCACTTACCCTCTGAATTTTAGGTTCCCATTCATTCCCGGTACCTAGGCACTTCCCACTCTTAGTTTCAAATATAATTATGTTAAAACTTTTTGTGGGAAGGAAATTTGCTTGGAAGTGCTCCACTTGTTGTGTACTGGCTAGGAGTCATCCCAACATTCTCACAGGGAAATCGGGGCCTCTGAAAACAAAAATCTGGTCATTTCATTCCCTCAGCATGACATTCAAGGCACTTTCAAATTGGGAAACTTGCCTCTGTAGCTTCATTCCCCACCACTTCCTCCTCTCCTCCACTTCCACATACAGCTTCGACACTGGAGTCACAGTACCTTTTTCTTTGCTTTCTGACGTAACAGTATTTTAGGATGTGTACTGATGGTTTCTAAATCTGCTGATTCCATAGTTTGCACACTATCAAGATGGGGATTGTGACAGGAGTACTAATGTGCATCTTCTGAGAGCCTATACCCAGACAACAGTAGGTTCATGTGGCACCACCTGAGGACACAGTTGTGTAATGACTTTATTCAGTTAAAAATGCTATTGAGTCTAATTAGGCTTGTGATAAATTATATACTAAGAATTGACATTTTATGCAAAACAAATAAATAAATAAATCATTAAAAAAAGAACATTAAAAAAGAATTGACATTTTAATAATACTTTAAGAATCCTTTCCAAAAATCTGTTGTTTTTACATTTGTCATAAATTGTTTTATGTCTTTCAATATGATTTTCTTCTTGTTAAATTTATTATAAGTATTTTGAATTTTGAATAGGTAGCACACTAACATAGTTCAAAACTTTAAAAAATAATATAGTTAAGTTTCCCTTCCATTGTTCTCTCTCAATCACCCAATTCCCCTCCCTTCCTAAGGTAGTTTATGAATATATGAGCAAATATATATGCCTGTTTTTTGCAACTGTGAATGTAATGTTTTTCTTTTGTTATTGTCTTTCATTGGATTACTGGTAGAACAGAGAAAAGCAATTGATTTTTGTACATTTATCTTTCATTCAGCCACTTACCAAGTGTCCTTATTAATGCTAACAGATTTTTAYTATTGCCTTTTGAATTTTCTAAATATACCATCATATATCTGTAACACAAGATAATTTATTTTCCATTATTCATATGATTATTTTTCCCTAACTGCTTTCTCTTGAATCTTCAAAGCCAGGTTGAATTCTGTCTTATTTCAGACTTAAGAAATAGCTTATGTATTTACAATTTAAAATGTCTGTTATTGGCTTCTGATGATCTATCATATTAAAGTAATTTTAAATGGGTACTTTAATTTTATCAAATCATACTTAATGCTGCAAAGTCTTATCAAATGCTTTTTTTTAGCACACACAGATATATCTTCTTTCTTTTAAAAAACTTTGAAATAATCTGACTTATAGAAAAGCTGCAAAAACAAATTTCTATATACCCTTCCTTCAGATTTCCCAAATGTTTACTTTTACTTTATCATTCTGTGTATACATATATATGCGTATATTTGTATGTGTATATAAAATTTAGTTTCCTGAAATATTTTCAAATTACCTTTAACTTCTAAATATATTTTCTAAAAATAAGGAAYACTTCATTAGTCACAGCATAATTACCAAAATAATACACTAAGATTAATTTATTATAGACATTTAAATATTTGTTCTTGATGTAGTTATTATTTATATTAGTAAATTTCCTGACACTGAGCCTCCTATCGATGAAATAATCTTTATGYGATCACAGTGTACATTTAACTTGATTTTATTTGGAATTTTTGCCTTCTATAGCCACAGGTGAAATTAGGCCTCTTTCGGTATTTTATAAAATTTGCAATTGTGTGGATTTAAAAAATCAACTGTTGAGTATTTTTCCAACTTTTCCCATGGTCTTAAGCAGTTATATAGAGTTAAAAGTTAGAATTTATCTGTATTTGGGGTAGAGTGATGATTATAGCCCCACTCACTATGCAAAAAAGCTCATTAACCTGTATTCTCACAATTTGTGCACTATCCTATATGTGCATTTCAACTTAAAATTTTAATTAACACTTTTTTTTGGCAATGCTCTTATTAAATCCAGGGCCTTGCATGTGCTAGGCAAACACTTTATCACTGAGCTACATTCCCAGTCTAGAACCCAATCAAAGGATAAAATTTTAGTCACCTTCTCAATTACTTCTTTGCTAATCAATTGGTCTCTTCCAACTATGTCTTGGGTCAGTGTTTGCTAGGATATTATCCATCTGCTCTGTTTTCAAATTTATTGCCTTAAAGCTCTTTTAAAATTGTAATTCTTCTCTTGCTATACAGCTATGTCTAATTTATCATTCTTGATCCTGTCTTTTTAGTTTTGGCTGTTTCCTCTTTAGCAGGCTCAGATTTTATCAATGCCTTCAAATATTTGTTAATTTATCCCTTTTCTTGTTCTTTTTTCCTACTTCATTTTTTTTTTTTTTTTATAACAGGGATGAACTCAGGGTCACTTGGCCACTGAGCCACATCCCCAGCTCTATTTTGTGTTTTATTTAGAGACTTTATTTAGCAACTCACTGCCTTGCTGTTGCTGAGGCTGACTTTGAACTCACAATCCTCCTGTCTCAGCCTCCTGAGCTGCTGGGATTATAGGCAGGTGTCACTGCGTCTGGCTCTACTTCAGTTTTTATTGGTTTGTTGTCTATTCTCTTAAGATTTAATGTTTTGGGGGCTGGTGTTGTGGTTCAGTGGTAGACCACTTGCTTAGCACATGTGAGGCACTGGGTTTGATCCTCAGCACAATATAAAAATAAATAAAATAAAGGTATTGTGTCCATCTACAAATAAAAAGATTTAATGTTTTTTCCCTTAAATTTCTAAAGTAATCACTGTACGCTTTTGAGTTTTTCTCTTTGAACAATGCATGTTATCTATACATTTTTGGGGGGTGGGGGATAGGGATTCAACCCAGGGGTGCTTAACTACTGAGCTACATCTCCAGCTCTTTTAATATTTTATTTTGAGACAGGGTCTTACTAAGTTGCTTAGGACCTTGATAAGTTGCTGAGGTTGTCTTTGAACTTGTGATCTTCCTGCCTCGGCTTCCAGAGCTGCTGGGAGGCTGAGCAAACAAATAACACTGTTCCATCYTAGGGAACACAGTGAAGATCTACTCTTGCTGCAGAGGCCACCCATAATATTCTTGGAGCCTCTGTCATGTGCTAGCTCTGTGCCAGAGTCTGTGGCTAGTAAGCTGGACAGTTCAGTTATTTGTCCTTTTTGGAGCTCACATTCTAGTGATGAAGACACAGAACAAGTGGTGTAAGTGAACTGAGCAGTGCCCAGGGTAATATGGAGTGTAAGATCTGGGTGGAACATGACCTTGGAGGTCTGGCAAAAATTCTCTGGAAGAAGAGAATTAGAAGTTCTTCACCTACTTTCAGGGTTCTTCTGGTATAAAACTTATCTAAATCTAATTTGAATTACAAGTTTGTTGTTCTTGGTTACAGTTGATTATCTAATAGGAATGTTGCATAAGGTCACTGACAGAGCCCCTAAGGGAAATCTCACCATCACACACAGAGAGAGAAAGAAGACACAGCTCAGGAGAGGAAGAAGTGGAAAAAGAATAGGCAAGTTTTAAGAATGGCAGTCATAAATCTACAGTATGGATTGGACTGAAGGTATCAATTTGAACTCATGGTTTWTAATAACATACAGATGTACAGATAAAATAAATTCAGATGTATGTGTGTATGCATGTGGTAACATACACAGATTTCTGAGCTGTGTCTGCTGAGAGGGCATAGACACAATGACACTCAACTAGTAATGTGTATACCCCGTGTTCAGACCTTGATTTCTTTTTTTTTGGTACCAGGAATTCAACCTAGGGGCACTCAACCACTGAGCCATATCCCTAGCCCTTTTTAAATTATTTTGTTTAGAGACAGGGTCTTGCTGAATTGCTTAGGGCTTCACTAAATTGCTGAGGCTGGCTTTGAACTTGTGATCCTCCTGCCTCAGTCTCCAGAGCTGCTGGAATTATAGGCGTGCACCACTGTGCCYGGCCAGAACTTGGTATCTAAGTACCAAGTAACCATCTGGTTTATTCAAGAATAAAGGAAACTGGGAGCTTCTTGGAGAAGTGGTTAATGTCAGGGCTGGGAAAGGGAAAATGTGAGTGAGCCTGGAACATCTTGTACCAGAAAGAGAGGAAGTGCTCAAAAAATGTGGAAGCAATGTTGAAACAACTTGAAGGAGTTCTTAATGGCCAAATCTGTTAGTACAAATCTGTTAGTATAGATTTATGACTGTTAGTATCTGTTAGTACTATAATCCACAGAATAAAACTATTGTCTACTAGCTCGTACTGACATAAATTATTGGGTTCTTCCTTACAAAAGAACACTGATTAATAAATATAGATGATGAAGAAAAATTGATCATTAGGCAAAAACAACATTTGTGATAAGCAAGAACCATTGAGAAGGATGTTAAAATCTGTAGACAAAACTCCAAGGATAAATAAGACAAAAGATTTTTATTARTTTAAAGGGGGAAATTCATATTCCCCTTGTATATAATTTTCTATATAATTATAATTTTCTCTATAATTACACATATGTGTGTATTACATATGATAATTTTTTTTTTTTGGGGTGCTGGGAATTTAACCCAAGTCCTCATGCATGCTGGGCAAGCAGCTCTACCACTGAGCTACAGCTCCAGCCTGCAAATTCACACACCACTATAGCCTTACAATTAAAGTAATACGACCTGCTGCTAGGTGGGTACAACCTTGTTTCTGTGAGCATCTTGCCAAAAATGTAGATCCTTGATGAAATCAAGTGAAATTATTAGGCAAACCCAAATCAAAGGACATTCTACAAAAGAACTGGCCAGGACTCTTCAAAAGTGTCAAGGTCAAAGAATAAGGAGGATGGAGGAACTGTCACAGTTGGTGAAAATGAAGGAAACATGACAATAAAATGCCATGTGGGATGTCCTGGATTGGATCCTGGAACAGAAAAAGGACACTGAGAGAAAATTCTCAAAATTCAAATGTCTGCCTATCAGTAATACTGTAGCAATGTTAATCTCCTAGTTTTGGTAACTGTAGTATGAGATGTTAATATTAGAAGAAACAGGTAAAAGGCATGAGAACTCTACTATTTTTGCAGCTTTCTATAAGTTTAAAATTATTTCAAAACAAAAAGTAAAAAACAACAAAAGAATAGCAGTCACTGAGGTAGGGAGCAGCAGATATGGCTCCAAGGGGTTAGCTGGTGACTGCCAGAGCATGTGCTGGGGCCTGGGCCCTCGTTTCTGACAGCTTCAGACCATGCTATGTCATTTTCCCATCACCCAAGGCACTTTGATTTTTGCCTCCATTTTCTGCTTCCTGAAAGAAACTAGCTAACACTACAAGCTGGCAGTTCAGGGCTCTCGAGGAGCAGCTTGTCTGAGTCCTCCACAGTAACGTGCGGAGGACTGCCCCCAGGCAGCAGGGGAGGGTGAACGGAATGGTTACCAGTGGTGGCTACTGCAGGGGGTGCCCAGGGATGCATCAGGCCTTGCTGCATTCTGCCAAACTGGGTTGAAACATGGCAGATCTGTAGAATGCCCTCCATGAGGGATAAGGTGTCCAGACTATCTATCTGCTCAGTGACTAACAGAAGACTGAATTAACTGCAGGTTTATTCCAGGCTCACTTAGCTGGGACAACAGCTCTAAGTGAGGCAGAATCTGTGGGCACCTGCATGGAAAACTGGCAAAATTCAAATGTCTGTAGATCAGTTAGAAGTACTGTAGCAAGGTTAATTTCCTGGTTTTGGTAATTAAGAATGGTTTTATGACTCTYTCCCCCTGTAGCTTCCCAGAGTCTAGGTTGTTGGTTTCCTGGAGGAGAGCTCTAGGAACTTACATGGTCATTGGATACTCCTGTCCAGTCCCAGAGTAGAGCAGGATAATGAACGAGTCAGGTCGCCTAGTGGTGCCTTCCACTGGCCTAGTCCCAAGGATAGAAAAGCAGTGTGGCTTGATCCAGGACATGGGGTAGGGAGGAATGGTGGGTGTGATATGGCAGTGGAAAGGGGTAAGTTTGATGGGTCTCTGCCTTAGAATTTCAAAGCATGGGAAAGAGGGAGCTATAGACTAAATTGCAACCATCTGTGCCTGGGCCTTTGCACTTTTTCTCACTCCCAGTGGAGACATTCTGGGGATTGAGCTGCACAAGTACCAGCAGAGGATGGCAGGCTACAGTGCAAAATGGCTCCCTAAGACAGAAACTGTTGGAAATCAGAAAACTCTGAATCAAGGGGCTCTGGTCCTTGTCTTCTTCCAGCCAGATCTGTTTTTTGCTGCCATACTTCTGAGCTTTTGGGAACACTGATACAGTTCCAGTGACTACAGGGAATGGGGATCATGCTGAAGGACAAAGAGGGACCTCCCTTGCATCTTGCCTTGAAGGGGTTAGAGAGGTATCTTCTCTCTAAAGACTTTTTAGCAGATTTTGGGCCCACAGAGGGCAGGTAGGCAGGATTCCTACTTCAGGACTGGGGCAAAGGATGGGTCTTCCAGGTCTGTAAAGGAGGTAAACAGCCCTTAGGCTTGGCAGAGAGAGGGAGAGGCATGAGGGGAGGCTAGGTCAGTTGCCATGCCACAGCAAGGGGTCTTTATTGGATGTTCAGGGCACATACAGGTGGATGCTAGATTGTATAGCACACCTTCTCAGGGTGGAGTGGTGCCCGGATGTCCAGTTTGTGGGTCTTGCTGTCCTTATCGATGATCTCCAGTCGCAGCTTGGGTGGACGCTTCTCTGTCTGGGGTGAGGGCAGATCAGGGCTCTTGAGGAGCTGCTTGTCTGAGTCCTCCACAGTGATGCGCAGAGTACAGCCCCCGGGCAGCAGGTCCTGCTCATAGGCTGCCGCCAGCTGGTTCACCACTCGGCGCTCTACCTGCAGGTGGTGACAGGTGAAGTGGTTGTCACTGTCTCAGACTGTGCCCAGTCTGTGGCCTGCAGCTGGTATCTACCATTTGCTTGGGCAAGTCAGAGACCTTCTCTGAGCCTCAATTTTCTCATCTGCAAAGTGGGGTATCAACATCTACCCTGCAGGATTGTGCTAAAGGTACACTACTGTCAGTTACTGAGGCTCCCAGTCCCCTGCTTCAGGCAGGGTTCATGCTTGGCCATCCTCCAGATAGGAGTTTCAGTATTTTTGGTTCTGAAGGGGCATCAGCTCTGGGTATCGCCCACTCCAGCAGCAGGGGGCCCAGGCATTGGGTCTGGAGAGTACCGGGGAGGAAGAGGTGGAGGTGCCTCCTTTCTCTCAGGCTCCTGTGCTCACCTCATGTTTGATGGAGCGGGCACCATAATGCACGTTGTAGCCATCAACCAACACGTCTGCCACCTCACGGTCCCACAGCAGTGTGATGTTGTGCCTTTGTTTGGCCTGAAATGGATCAGAGAGGCCTGTCTGCGTGTGGCGCTTGCTTTCCATCTCTTACTACACTGGCCTGAGGCCCAGGACTGTGAAAGATAGTATGCCCCAGGGCTACTGGCCCCACACCAAGTGTTCCACCTTCAGGGGGAGGGACTGTTCCCTCCAGAGTTCCAGTGGACAGATGTCCCTTCCCCACCCATGGGCAGTCCCCTCTTACTCTCTTGGCCCAGAAGTTCAGTTCCTTGTTGACTAGCTGGATAAGCTCTGAGTGGCAGAAGGGAAGGAAGTACACGATCTCATTGATCCGTCCAAGAAACTCATCTCTCCGGAAGTGAGCCTGTAGGGCCAGGGTAGGGGCAGGATGAACTCAGTGGCCTGGGAAGGCAGGCATAGGAAAATTTCTGGACCCCACTGGGAAACATAGTGGCTTCCGTTTATTTGCTATGGTTAAGACCCTGCTCCCCCAGCCCTAGGCTCCAGCGCCAAGAAACACTCTTACTTTCAGGATGGGGCGAATCACATTCTCCTTAAAGTTCTTTGAGATGGTGATCTTGTCACTCATCTGGACGTCTCCTGCAGAGACAGAATCATAAACTGCTTACTTCCCACACTCAGGGAACTTTGGGGGCTATACCTATGAGATCCTGGTCACTAAGGCTGGCTGGCACTTGGTGTGGTCTCCTCACCTCCAGAGGTACTTTCTGAGGTCCTTCTAGCTCTTGAGTGTTATAAAGCTCCAGTGTTCTCAAGTGGGAGTTGTAGGTGATGGGGAAGGACAGAAATCAGGGTCAAGGCTTGAGTTCTGACTCTGAAGAAAGTGGCAACAGGACTTATCCTGAATGGAAAGGTGAGAGGTAGAGCCTCTTGCTTGCTGGGTGCTCTAGGACCCTCTAATGCAGGGAGCTGTACTGGCTGAAAAAGGCTATGCCCACTTCTGTGTAGCTTCTGACTTACTGTTCTTCAGGGTCTTATCTGTTGAGTTTGAGACTCTGGCTCCCTTCTGTCCCTCACCCTGGCTGCCTCTGTCCAATCCTCTGTCTGGAGCCTTCCTATCACCCAGGAGATTTGGGGCTTTCTTTCTTCCTTTTTTCTTTTGGTACTGGAGACTGAACCCAGAAGTACTCTGCCACTGAGCCATATCCCCAGCTCTTTTTATTTTTTGAGACAGGATCTCACTAAGCTGCTAAAGCTGGCCTCAAACTTGTGTTCCTCCTGCCTCAGCCTTCCAAGTAGCTAGGCTGTGTGTGCTACCACATCCGGCAAGATTTGGGGCTTTCCTGAGTGGGGCACTCTTTGTCTGTCCCCCTCTACTYTCTGACATGGTGCCTGGTGTCTGCTGCCTACTAGGACCTTAATCCTACCCTTGTTCCAGAAGTGCCGGTGCTCAGATTACTTGCCCATACAGCTCAGGTTATACACCATACCAAGGTTTTCAGCGATGCGGTTCCGGCTCATCTCCAAAGCTTCCTGCCTCAGCTGCAATGCGTGCTGTGCGATCTCGTCACTGGCCACATTGGAGGTCATGATGAAGATGGCATCCTTGCAGTCAATAGTTTTCCCCTTCCCATCTGTCAGTCGGCCCTGGGAAGGAATGGGGATGGTATGGTGAGGGAGCTGCAAGCCCGGACAGGCTTTAGTGCCCTCAGTACTCTTGTTCTCCAGAACACTCCCCCAGAACCCTGTGTTGCTGCCTCCCACCCTGAAGGTCAGCTGCTCCCCACTCCGGGTTCTCTGGGCACTGGACTCACAGCGTGGTAACAGTGCTCACTGAGGTTAAGTAATTTTTTCTCACAGCATCTGCTCCTCTGAGAGCACCTCTAGGCAAGATAGCACCTGCTTATAGACATCTCAGGGTGCCCAACTAGCCTTGGCATCCAGAAGTCAGTCTGATTCCCCACCCTTCTCACTATCAGAATCCTACTCTGGGCAGGCTCTGTTGGGTACTGGGGACTCACTGCGACTTTAGCAAGCTCCCTGTCTAGAGAAGCCAAGACCCAGGAAATGAACAATCACAACGAGAAGGAAAGCCCAGGTCACTGCAGGAGTTCAGGGGTGGGAATCTTAAAAGGGTGACTGTGAGGACTAGATGTGGTCATGTTGGTAAAAGCACCTCAGTACACAATGCTGTGCATGTGGCCAGAGCAGATGATGTATAATACATTAACTGATATGTCTTTGGAGCCATCCTCCATCCTGACAGAGGGAAAGCAAATTAGGTTTCTACTTTAACCACCTTGGGACATTCCCTTGGAATGTTTAGCACTTTCAAGAAGTGACAGRGAAGACAGCATCTGTACTGAGACAGATGCACCAAGAAAAGAGAGCAAATGGCAGAGAGAAGATGAAGAACTATACAAGAACATGGTTCTGTAACCAATCAGGTCAAGGTGACAGAGCCCTGCCCACTCAGCAAAGCTCAAGGGCATCACTGTACAATAGCTCTGGACAGTACTGACAATGATGATCAGGAACTGGTTGAGAGGAAGCAATTGAGTGCCAAGGGTGTGCACCAACAGGGCACTTCTATTGTCACAGGTGCTCTTCTTGGGGCTTTCAGTGCACTATTTTATTATCTATTAGAAAGTTGCTCCTTCAGGGCAGAGGCTGGGAACACCTCTGTGTCCCAGGACAGTGCTGGGCACAGGGTAGTTGTTCAACACCTGCCTGCTGAATCCCTAAATCCTCATAACCATCCTTGGAGGAAGGTGAGTTATGACCTCTGAAAAGAAACTGAAGCTCAGAGAGGTTAAGTAATTTTTTCTCACAGCTAGGTCTCAAAGCCAGAATACAGTACAGGGGAGTCTTGAACTGTGTGACTCCAGAGCCATGTCCTTCCCTTTGCACCAGGCAACAGAGTGCATTACAATAGTGCTGGATAAATAAAGGCTTGTGTCATTTTCTTTCCCTCAACACAATTTTTTCAAAATTAGACCAAATTCAGTTTGCATCCTTTGGTCCTCACTGAGAGCACCGGGACAGGTGCAAGGAGAGGACACCTGCCTGGGAGTACCTGGAAAGCAAGCCTCAGGCAATAGATCACTGAGCTCCGACTGGTGGCTCCTGCCTGAGCCAGGGATGCTGGGCCCTGCCCCAGCTCCAGCCAGTCACCATCCTCATCATGCTTTCCCCTTCCTTGTCAGGGTGGGCCTGATGCATGGCCAGCCTGGCAAGTCTAAAGCCCATGCCTGGCAAGCCTAGCCCTCCTTAGAGACAAGAGGAGACATGGTGCATTAGCTGAGCGACGTATGAGTGCTGGGTGTGCTTTCCAGTCTTGCTTTACTGGTCTAGGCCTCAAAGTTAGTTCCAAAGGGATCTATTCAGAAGAGGCATGGCGCTGCAGGTCCTGGAGCTAGTCACTCTGCTGGAAGGGGATGTCTTGAGATTTTGCCACTAGCTCTTCAGTCTGACTCCTGCTCATGGGCTCTAATTGCTGCTGGGGTTAATTCCGGATTGGGTTAGGGTGTGATGTGCCCAAGCATGTGTATAAGGCACTGTGTGTTCTACACTTACCTCGCAGAGCTCATCCCTGAGGACTGAGTTCACATTCAGTCCTGGCCAGAGCAATAACCTAGCAGCAATTTCATTCTAAGAGATCAAAGCTGTGCTCATAACTGGGCCTGAGGATGGGTCCCAGGTGGGCAAGGGGAGCAGGTGCAGTGCACAACTGACCCAAAGGGTGACTTTCAGTGCTCATCTCTCTCCTGTTTCCTTAGCAATAACGATGTGTCCTAAAGCGGGAGCTGTCCTCATCCCACCAGCAACCAGAATGTGCATATTCTGGGTGAGGCTCAAATGGTCCCCGCAGGGTTATGGAGCTGCTTTTCCACTGTCTCATGAATCCTTAAAGGGAGGAGGAGTAGATGGGTTCCCTGGGGACTGGTATCTTCCTGGGAGTTCTGCCCTGGGCTATAGGTTCTGAGGTTACCTAGAAGTGACCCAGCATAAGTCCTGTGTGGTATTTTGATGATAGCAGTAAGATTCTTGCTTTTCTGGTCCCAGGTTTAGAAGAACTGGGCTAAGTGAGGACTGGGGACTTCCCTCACAATTCCAGGCTGGATTTACTATCCTTACAACTTGCTATTGGACCCTAGTATAATGCCTGCCTCAGCAGGATGAACTGCCCTCTGGCTGCCTGTCTGCCCCACTCATTCATAACACAAGGCAGGGTATTTTGTCTGTGTCCCCTGCCATGCTCACTTTCCTGTGTGCTTCCCTGCAAACTGCCCCCCTTTGCCCTAGCTGCTCGTCAGTTACTTAAGCTGTTCTAGAATGGGACCTGGGTTCCAATCCTCAATTCCCCCTTCCAGCTGTGTAACCACAGATAAATTACTTACTCTAACTTAACTTTAGTTTCCATGTCTATTAAATGGAGGCAGCAGTAGTTGCCCTCTTTCAGAGGGTCTTTGGGAGGGTTAGATGAGTTGCTACAGTGTATTTCTTACAAGGGTGCATGGCATGTAAAGGGCAAGGATGCAGAATATCACCACATCTCCTAGTCAGACTCCTCCAGAGGGTAAGGCTGGGTGTGGGCCACAGCTGTGACCTGAATCTCACCAAGAGGCTGGAACAGAGTGGGAGGCCTCACTGTCCCTCTATTCTCTGAGAACTGGTGGCCTCTTTCACAGCAGGAGATCAGCTGAGTGGTTAGGAAGATGGAAGCAAATATGGGGCAGGGGAAGGATGCTGGGCCAGGTGGAGAAGGCAGTGGCAGCTGGGGACAGATTTAGTCCTCCTGGCTTGGTGTACCTGATGTATTGTTTGGGGAAGTTCTTCCCTACACCTATGTGACACGGGAAGCAAAACATTTCCTAGGGCACCTGGTGCTGGCTAATATTGCCCCTGTGTGGGAGACAAAAGCTCAGCCCCAGTTCAGCCCTTGGCTCCTCATGTCCTCCTGGCAGGGCAAGGCCCCTTGGAGAAGGTGAAGGCCATTCTCTCCCAAGACCAAGACCAACCCTTCCCTTGGCTCACTGGTAAGAAGGTACAAAGGACTAGGGCTCTGGGGCCAGATATATCTGCAGTCCAAACTTGAATCCTCATACACTTGCTCTGTGTCCTTGTATACATCATTTATAACAGTTTGGAACCTCAGTTTCTTCCTCTGAATTAAAAAAAAAATCAGATAATTTCTGCCTTGCCCTGGCTATTGTTATGATTAGCACTAATGTCTGCTGAGGCGTAAGCAGAAATCTAGCACATAAAATATACTTCATAAAAGCATGTTCTTTTCCCATTCAGAGTTCACCCCACCTAGTGAGGTACTGCAGTTTTGTCAGGGGCCTGGAGCTCCTCCGAAGGGTTCTAAAAGCCATGGTATTAACATCTCATCAGCAGTAACAATGTTGAGTGATTTAAAGCACTGGTGCAGACAAAGTCCTGTACACAGAGGCATAGAGCTGCTAGAGCCACGATGGTTCTTGGGAGTTTATTGATTCAGCCTCCTTGCTCGTCACATGAAGTCCCTGATGACTAGAGATGGGCAGTGAACTGCCAAAGCTACAAAATCAGTCAGGAGCAGAGGGGAAACAAAAGTTCAGTGCTCCCCCAATGGAACCTCTGTCCCACTGTCCCTCTAGATGGCAGGCTGGGCAGCCATGAAATTGTCAACTATGGGTCAGTGCTGGTCTTCCCTGAGTGGCCCRCTTTGAGTCCTGTCCAGAGAGTCTCATCTGCCAAGAGACTAAATGTATCCAAGGAGGAGCAGTGAATAAGGATCAGACAGCCTCTGGGTCCTGGATTCCTGCTGTTCACAGCCCCCAATACCTCCAGGTGTCCCCACAACTCCATCCCGCCCAGGCTGACTTTCACCTCATCAAACAGCTGCAGCATGATGGTGAGCACATCTGGATGGGCCTTGTCCACCTCATCAAAGAGCACCACAGCATTGGGGCACTGCTTTAACTTCTTGGTCAACTGGCCGCCCTCCTCATGGCCAATATAGCCTGGTGGGGACCCAATAAACTTGGCCACCTGGTAGAAGGAGGAACATATGTTAGGAAGGCCTTTCTGTGCCTTTTGTCTGCAATATAGGGCCAGCATGAAAGATGGCTTTATGAACGAGCAAGTGCCTGTCTCAAAAGGATGGTGGGCTATTTTTCTCCTGGTGTGGCAGAAATCCTGCCATGATAGGAGGGTAGACACATCTTCTCTATGATTACTCGTCAGAGCAAATCCCACACAAAACACATCAGTGACTGTTGCACAGCCCATCTGTACACCCCTCCCCCAATTCCCAGGGCTGCTGGAATTATGTCAGGCCCAAAGACCCAAATGACAAGTCATATAAAAACACCAGAACAGTCATGTCAACAGGACCCCCATATCATAGACTATCATTTCTGAAGAGACTCACCTCATGTCGCTCCTGGAACTCAGACATGTCCAACCTGATGAAGCCCTGGGTGGAAATAAGTCAAGAGGCGGGAAGGGCGTAGAGAGGTTAAGGTCATGTGGGGTAGGCACTGCTATCAGTGCATAGGATATGAACCAGCAAGCATTTCCAGAGGGCCCCTGGCAGCCCTGCCTGCTGCGACACGCAGGCTTTGGGAGGGATGGAGGATGGCCACAGGAAAGCTGGGCATGCTGCCCAGGGGGAGCAATGGCTGGGAGTCACGAAGTTGTCTCTGACATGTAATAGCTGGCTTTCACTGGTGCTTACCTGTGCCTGGCAATGTCCTAAGCAAGCTATGAAGGGCTTAGAATGTGTAGGAGTCTGAGGTTAAGTGCTCTCATCATCCCCACTTTACAGATGAGAAACGAAATTACAGATTAGATTAACTTGCCCAAGGTCACACAAGCTTGGCCACCCAGCTCCATCTCTATGCTCTAAACCATTATGCTCTACTGTCTCGTATCATCCCCACTGCCAACTAGCTGGGCTCTTGAAGGATTTTGAGCTTTGTGCTCAGACATCAATATCCTAGGCTACAGGGAGTATAGACTCTAGTGCTCACTTAAYGTCAGGTAACCTGGCTTTCCACCCTAGTTCTTTCTAATGATTTTTTTTTTAGTTGTAGTTGGACACAATACCTTTATTTATTTATTTTTATGTGGTGCTGAGGATCACACCTAGGTCCTCACACATGCGAGGTGAGCGCTTTACCGTTGAGCCACAACCCCAGCCCCTCTTTCTAATGATTTGTTAAGCAACTTTGAACAAGTCTTTGGGGTTAGTTTTCTTGGCTGGAATCACTTTAGTTTCCTAAGATCTTTGCTTGGTATTACCTATAAAGCAAGGCAAGAGCAATTACAGCAGCATCYAACATACATCAATTGCTTATTATGTGTTAAGAATGGTGTCTAACATTTTACTTCAGCATCTCATTTAACCTTCATTATAATCCAATGGGATGGACGCCATCATTGAACTAATTTTACAAATGAGAAAACTGATACACACATCATAGGGTAGAGCTGGGATTCAAACCCAGGTGGTTAGACTCAAATGCTTGCTCCTATGCCTTTCATCAGACTGCCATGTAACTGCAATTGTTGGGCTCTGTCATCCCACCTCATGATGATATCATAGAACACCATTAGGGTCCTTCTCAAGGATTATGAACTCTAGTAATTAAAGTCAACAAAGCTGCTCTATGTGAAAGGAACACTAGAGGCTGAGAAAAAAGGCTCATAAATAGATCTGATTAAAAAAATTGTATATGGGGCTGGGGATGTGGCTCAAGCGGTAGCGCGCTCGCCTGGCATGCGTGCGGCCCGAGTTCGATCCTCAGCACCACATACCAACAAAGATGTTGTGTCCGCCGAAAACTAAAAAAAATAATAATAAATATTAAAAATTCTCTCTCTCTCTCTTTAAAAAAAAACTGTATATGGCTGGGGATGTGGCTCAGTAGTAGCGTGTCTGCCTGGCATGCTTGAAGCCCTGGGTTTGATCCTTAATACCACAAATAAATAAATAAATARATAGATACAACACTGCTTCCTGCTTTGTGTGGGTACCTGTGAGTACATAAGCCAAAAAAAAAAAAAAAGTGTAAATGCAAAAACCACCTTGTTAGGTAGCAGGATCCAGATGTATTAGTGTCCCTTCACAAATGAAGAAACTAAGGATCAGAGAGCCACAATTGGGATCTAAGCCACTAGCCTCCCAGGCCAGTGCCTATTTTATTTCATGAGTCATCTTGGTGAGACCCTGTTTACAAATGGGCTCTGAACTGGATTCTTTTTTTCCTTTTTTTTTTTTTTTCCTGTGGTACTGAGGATTGAACCCAGGGCTAGGCAAGTGTTCTACCACTGAGTTAACACCTTCCAGTCCTTTTTATTTTTTTATTTTGGGACAAGGTCTTGCTAAATTGCTCAGGCTGGCCTCTGGGATTACAGGTGTGTGCCACCATGTCTGCCACGAATCTAATACTTTGTGTATATTGCTCCACATGAAGCCTCAGGTATACTAGTTAGAAGATAGCTTATAGCCTAGGACTCGCTTGGATTKTGTGGGTAGGCTTCAAACATGCCTATCACATGGCCAGAAAATTTCTGTTGAACATATTCTGCAATGAGTTGGTCACAGGGCTTGGCTAGCTCTGTTTTTCCTAGGAAGAAAGAAGCAAGAGGAGTTGGGTTAGGACTAAATGACTGGAAATGCATGGAGTAGGAGTGTAATTCATCACCTACGAGTTAAAAATAAAATGGATGATTTTATTGGGCTTCTCATGCCTCTCATCTCCCTATGTGAAATGGGGACAAACTGATAAGTTTACAAACTAGCCTCCCAGAGCAGCTGAGAACAATGGTGTTGAGAGAAGAGTTAAAGACTAGATTCCCCTGACAAGTGACCTTAGACAAGTCTCTTGATGCTATAGGGTCTGCTTTCTTATCTGAAAAGCAGGTCTAAGTTCGCATCTGTGCTAGGTCCCTCATAGGATCAAATAAGACAGTGGTAGCTGGGTACTATGTGAGAAGGGAGTGAGGCACACATACAAGTCAAGGGAGCAGCGCTGAGCTAGCTATGATTTGTATCATCTCCCTTGATGATCAAAACTGCTTCAGACACAGGACTGGACAGCCTGACCCTGAAGCAAGAGAGCTGAAACATCATGGAGGGCAGGAGACTGAGAACTGGAACTTGAGCCAAGGAATGGCTGGCTCTAGAGGTCTGCCTACCATGTCCTGCTGCCTCCTGCGGTGGGTATGGGCGGATGATGGTGTTACTTCTCTTTCTGGATGAGACATGTACAGAAGGACACCATCATCCCACCTGTAGGACACCCTGCACTGGGACTGATCTGTCTCCCATTTTGACGTGCCAACTAAAAAATTATGTGCATCATCAGTTTTTTAACAAGTCCCTTCTCCTTTCCACACCAGCAAGTCAGCAGATACTTTCCTTCTACTTCCACTGTATATGAAGACATATTAAGACAGCTTGGATAAGGAGATTATAATTTGTAATTAAATATTAACCTTTCTGACAGTATTAAAATTAAACCACTCAGAATTCTTCATTCCTAATCAGGTGGTTCCTGCCCGTAACTGCATCTTCCCTAATAGTCTTGCTAGTTTATGGCCCTTTCCAGAGTGCTAATTGTTTCAATTGCTGCCAACCTGATAAATTGTCTTAAAAATGCTATTTCGGTTGGAGCATATTAGCATGCCATGTGCTGCTTCTTGCCTGCCTGCATGTCAAGTGGGTCTGCTCTGAGTTTCACTGAGGCAGAGCATAGCTGCTCGGCCAGTGAAAAGCCTTCTGCCAGTTCTTAGGAAGAAGGGGGCTCAGGAGGACATAGCCTGAGTGACCTTGTTTCTGTGGCTGCCAGGTTCTCTGGGGGGTGGCAAGAATTCAGGAGGTTACAAGTGGAATAGGAATCCAGGACTCTGCTTCTGGGAGCCACTTGGCTGGCAAGACCTAGGCAAGTCCTCATCATCTTGGTGGGGAGTGCATGGGGTGAGGCATGTCTTAGGCAACCTCCAATGTGGGAGATCGACCTCCCTCAGCCTCATGCTAGGAAGGCTGGTAGGAAGTTTACCTTTCATTAAGCTGTTTTGTATTCTCTCTAAGGATTGCTTTCTCTAGAGTGTTTCCTGTCAGCATGGCCAAGAGTCAAACTGAGTAGGCTTCGGAAAGCTGAGTACAAACACACAGGGGATGAAGATGGCCCTTTACTGTGGAAAATCTWTGGCTCTGAGCCTTGTGAAGGAACATTAGAAGCAGCCAACACATAAGGCATTAAGAAACCAGGTTTCAGGGACTGGGGTTGTGGCTCAGTGGTAGAGCGCTTGCCTAGCACGTGCGAGGCTCTAGGTTGGATCCTCAGCACCACATAAAAATAATAAATAAATAAAATTAAAAAAAAAAAAGGGAGAGAGAGAAACCAGGTTTCAAAGGTCATGCAGGATGAAAAGAAGCAACAGGAATCATCTTATTCCCATTTTCTCAGACAGCTGCCAAGACTTTCTCTGGCACAGCCTTGACTGTGTGGACACCTCCCCAGCCAGAGTGCCTGGGGAGAGAGTGCCTTAATAAACACTGCATTTCGGGCATTCAGCACAACACCTGGCAAGATGTGGCAACTTGACGATGTTGTGTGGATGAATCAGACCTGGTTTTCCCAAGAGTCAGGTAGACCGAGGATTATTATTCTTATTTCAAAGTTGAAGAAACTGAGACACAAAGAGGTTAGATAACTTCCCCAAATTCCTGGAACAACCGGTGGCCAGAGCTGAGGCTTGTTTCTTGGGGGGGGGGGTACATCTTTTTGATTCTACTACTAGATTCAGAGAGCCTCAGATTTTTTAAAAAATATTTTTTAGTTATACATGGACACAATATCTTTCTTTTGTTTGTTTATTTTTATGTGGTGCTGAGGATCAAACCCAGTGCCTCACATGTGCGAGGCAAGTGCTCTGCCACTGAGCCTCAGGTTTTTGATAGGTCTCTATGGTCTACAGAAGATACCTCAGTCCCAGCCCTTACCTTTTTGGCATCTTTGTGCATATATTTGGCTGTCTGCTTGGCTAGCTCTGTTTTTCCTAGGAAGAAAGAAGCGAGAGGAGTTGGGTTAGGACCAAATGACTGGAAATGCATGGACACTAGACAGCATGTCTTTTACAGATGGGAATACTGAGGCTCAGAGATTCTCCTCAGGTCACTTATGAAATTGCATTTTGACTTTTCTGCGGATGGTGTCAAGGCCATTTCTCTATAGCTGCATCCTAAGAGTGGGGGGATGACTAGTCTAGAGCTAACTTGCCCTCTGAAGCCCGCACAAACTTCATCCCTCCTGGGAGTGCACTGGCTTTCTTGCTCTCTGCCCCACATTTCTCTTAACTCCTATGGTTCTGCCATTCAGTCAGACTCCAGAATCACTTGCTAAGAAGCCACTGGGAGGGGATGAAGAGTACGTCTTATTGGCTTCACTGTCCTTCTTTGTGATAAAAGGAAGGAATGATAATACCAAATTGGTGGCTCTGAAGGGCCATTGGGAATGGCCACTGGAAATCATTGTGTGGTACAAAAGGTCCACACCATCATTGTTGAAGGGTGGTACCTTTTGGGATCCTACATCTGAGGAGAGCTAGGTCTATAAAGGTGTCTGAGGTGAAGATGAGACAACTAAGTCATGAAAGCCCTGTCAAGGCAATGGTGGGAGGTGGGAGTGGAGGTCTGTGAGGGTGGAGAGTGAGGAGCTAAGAATGCCTCAGACAAGGCAGCTCAACTGGCTAGAAAAATACCTAACCCATGTTACTGCAACCAGTCCTGCTGTGACCTCAGCACTGTGCTGCTCACTGGGGCTTTCTTTAGCTCCCTAAAGCTAGGCTGTCCTGAATGCAGCTGGGTGCTGAGCAGTGGAGGTGGTTCAATTGTTCCCAGAGGGGAGCCTGTGGGGATGCAAGTGCCTGGGCCAGGGCTAACAGGCCTGGGGCCTGGTCCTCTAGGTGAATTAGTCCTTATTCCACAGCTTCCAGGGGAGGGTCATGATTCTAGCTGTTCACAACATGACAGATGATTAAAAAYTCAGAGTCCTCTTTTTGGTGGCTCTATAATTTGGAGGCAGTTGCTTCTGGAGCTGGGATTTGAACTCAAGATGGGTGTCATGACCCCTGGCCCACAGCAGCTGGGGCTGTCGAGCGTGGGCCAATCCCCTCCCCACCACCCCGCCCGTTCCCCTTCGCCAATGTCTGATTTGTTCCTGATTACCTATTCCAGATGATCCCAAGAAGAGGAAGACCAGAGGGTGTTCTTCGTCGTACCAGCCATTCTCCTTCCTCCGGATCGCTATGGCCAAACACACAAGACGGGGACGGGGAGGGAGGCAGATAAATCAATGACACAAAAGGCAGGATAATTATCACTAAGTATACAATATGTTTTACTGCTCTGCGCCCACTCAAAGTCCTCACTACCATTAGTGCTGCCTAATCTGATTAGCTGGCAAGGCCCCTAGAGACACCTAATCAGGTTAGCATGGATTTGGAAAGCTGCCCAGAGCAGATTTCGGATAAAGTTTTCCAGGATGAGCACTCAGCGTTGCCAGGGAAACTGAAAGGCGGGTGGATGGTGAATGGAGGTGAAGGGGGTGGGGGATTGGTGAAAGAGAATTTGAGAGGAGCTTTAGCTTTCGCTGGCTACCCCTCTTCTTACCTATGCAAACATGAGAGGCAGAAGACCACGGCAGGTTTTAGCCATTTGGGGTGTGAGCTCTGGGCTCTTTCCCATTTGGGGAAACCAAGGTTTGGTATGCTGTCTGGATTAGGAAGTGGAAACAGCCATATGCATTTTCAGGAACTAATTGAGGGTAGTGTGGAGCTTGGAGTGCGGATGGAGTAAGCCACTTGGTCAGCTCCCTACTAACCATGGCATCCGGTGAGCAAGATCTGTACTAGGTCCCCTTGGGGTTTAACTCTGCTACAGCAAGCCCTGACCTCTCTTCTTCAGCAAGAAGAATGTAATCAAGGGCTATGCATTCAAGGTGAGGAAATGAAGTGCTTAACTACAAAATGGGAGAATCAGGCCCAGAAGCACTGCTCAAGGGTAAGCAGGGAGTGCTGCGAGGCACAGCCATAAGAATCACTTATTGAACATGCTGCGTGCTAAGCACAATTGGAAAATTCACCACCAATGTATTTACTCAAGACCCACACACCAATGCCTGAAGGGTAAGTATTTTTTAACTCCATTACACTGATCAGGAAACTGAGGCAACAGATACATAGTACACAGAGGTACTTCTTTCTCTAAACCTGCCATCTTTTCAAAACAAAATCACATAAGGTTTCTTTAAAAAGTGAATATCAACTTGGGTTGCATTAATGGAAACATGGAAGTCAGGAGCAGGAAGAGCCCTGTGTAATGTCAAGGTCTGTCTGCAGATGAAACATCATGTCTGGTCTGGTCCCCAGGGTGTTGAGGGGAGGGGAGGTGATTAGCAAAGGGATAAATGTTAGAGGGCAAATCCTGGAAACTCAGTCAATCAAGAAAGAGTTGGCAGTCTTAGGGATTCTTCTGCCAGTCTTGAGGAGCCAAGCTCCTAACAGTTATACTGTGTGGCTTTCAAAGAAGCAACTGCAGATGTCAGGGAGGCCTCTTTGTAAGAAGTGGGACTGTAGAGGCCTGGCAGGATTTGGATAAGTGGCCAGTATGACAGAGGTGGAGAGATGGGAATGAACATGAGGAGCAGTGCGGGGGATCAGTTATGAGGGTCTGGACTACCTGTCTTAGGAGTTTACCCCACGCTGTGGTCTTCCTCACTTTTTTTCCCCCCTGTGGTGCTGGGAATCAAATACAGAGCTTCATGCATGCCAGGCAAGTGCACTACCACTGAGCCACATTCCCAGCACTCACCTCTGTCTTTAATGTTGCCACCTAAAGCATACTCTCTCTTCACTCTGGTCTCAGTAGAAACAAATGAAAACTGCAACTTCATAGATGTTGGACAAGTCACTTTTGCCTGCCCTGGAGATGCTCTCTGACTACTCTGAAAGGACTTAGAACACTCAGTCCACCTCTCTTGAGGCTAGGATCCAGATCTTCTCTAAGTGGAACTCACGGACCTCGCAGGTACCTGAACACTAGGGATGAAGCAGGGAAGTTCAAGTCTGGTTGAAGGGGAGTCCCTGGTGTCCCGGCAGAAACAGGGAGTTGGGGGTGAGGGTATCTGGAGGTAGCAGAGGTATTAAAATAGCAAAAGCTAGACTTTCGTGAATACTAAGTGTGAACATGTGTGCATGTGTGTTGGGGCAGGGGTGAGAGGGTTCACCTGAAAGGAGGTGCATTCTTCCAAAATTTGGCTAAATTGAGAATCTAGGTTGAGAAGAGGCTGAGTATGAACTCGGTTCAGGCTTGATGGGGCATCAAGTGAGGCAGGCATGGCTCAAACAGGTGACCTGGGGGGGATGGGGTTCCCCAGTTTATCATACATGAGGTTCTGATCTTGGCTACCCCCCACCCCCAGCCCATCCAGAGCTGCACACTGCTGGGCTGTGCAGTATAACACACACCATGGAGAATGTGGAATTGAATTATGCCTGGGGCCATCTTTTTCCCCTTCTTTTCTAATAATGCACCTGGGAGAGAGCTCTTTATAATGCCATACAGACTCCACTGCACAGCTGTCCCTGGTCAATTCTGCCAGACCCAGGGCATGAGTCTGGGGTGGGCTTGATCTGGGCCCCCCATGAAACAGGTGAAATGCCAACCATTAAACAATTACAACTCTGGATATTTCTAATAATATCTGAAGAGAAAAACGGCCAAGCAGATGGAGTCCGACAGAATGAAAAATGGAAGCAGCTAGGAAGGACTGGGGAAGGTGAGCTCCAGGGTGTGCGGTGGGCAGGGTGGCTGGGGACCAAAGCTGGGGAGCCCAGAGGGTCCCTTCAGGCCTAAGCAGAGGCTGGAATAGACCAAAGATCTGGATGGGCCCATGTGCCTGTGGCTGTTAAGTGCTGCGGGACTCATGATGGACCAGCAATGTGCAACTAACTCCGCCATCACTTTACAGTCTGTAAAGATCCTCTGTAGAAGTAATTTCATATCAGCCCCATTATGAGAATATAAGGCAAGTAGGGYAGGAAACTGGATTCCTGTTTTATAGATGAGAAAATATGAACAAAGAAGTTAGAAAACCTGCTTGAGGTTACGCAGGTAAATAAGTGCAGACTCTAGGCTGCCCCTGGCTGACTCCTGATTCAGGAGTGCAGGGAAGGCGGGCAGCTATCCCTGGCTCTCTGCTGCTCTCCTCACATCCTTGTCTCACCTGGAAGAAGCTCCCTCTGTAATCTTCCTGTCTGCTTCACTCAGCCATTTGACACATGGCCTCAGGAGCCCCTGTCCTTGGCCTCACCACTGTTCTTAGACTTCAAATGGTATCAGGGCCTCCGCATGGGCAGCCCAGCCCCCTTCCCTGACCGGCCCCAACCAGGATCCTCTGCCTGGTGCCTGCTTTGCTGGTGTCCTGTCCCTTTCCAGGTGCTGTCTCCTGGCCACATCTGTCACTACTGGATCATCTGAAAACTCACCTGCAACAACTCGTTACAATTCATTTCACAACAGCACATCTACCCCACTAATTCCTGGGTCTGCACTCTCTGGTACATGCTCATTTATAGACTGGTATGGTGGAGGGGGCAGGAGTTACAGGAGTTAGCTCAAAGTCCTGTCTCTGTCATTTACTAGTTGAATGGCTGAATAAAACACTCATTCCTTTAAAGCCTCAGTTTCTTCACCTATAAAATGGAAACAGGTATGTCTCTGTGCCACCCCAATATGAAGATGAAATGAGTTAATGGTTATGAAAGCATTTTATAAGCTGTGAAGAATGAAGTAACAGTAAGAATAAAAATAATGAAGTCATAGTCACTAGCTTTGGTATTTTATACATCTCTTTCCTCCTTATGATAATTCTAAGTGGATTCCTGAGGGACCCCTATGACTAGCCCAACACGGTTTTAATGTTTGCTGTCTAAATGAAATGATTCTTGGTCTTTCTGGAATCATAAGCAGGAAAGAGTAGTTTCTTTAACTCTCATTTTACAGAAGGGAAGAATGCAGCCGGGACCTGTCTGCTAGTGCTCCAGCTGGTTTCTACTCCCCTTGGGTGAAGAAGGCTTCCACTCCCTTCTAAACCCTCTCTAGAGAGCTCTATGCACTGTTCAGCTCTTGCCAGGAGCAGGCCTAAAACAAGGTTTGTGCCTTTTAGAAAAACGCTGCTATGAAAACTGTGGGTTCCAAATGGGGTGGGTGGACCAAAACCAGTGTGGGAAAGCCTTTTGTGCCTGAAGGATGAGRGGAGACTGCCAGACAGTTGGGGGATGATATGATATTCCAAGAAGGCCCCAGCATGTGGAAAACTGGAGTAAAGAGTTGCCTCTTCCTCCCACCCTAGGTCTTTGCCTCCACTCAGCTCAAGGCAATGGGGCAGACTAGGGGGGCTGACTTGTGCTTCTTGATAAGTTCTAATGATCTAGCATGGAGGTTTTCTTTTCTTTTCCCCCTAAACATAACCTGGGGATGTGACTGTTCCATGCTGAGGCATCTCCCAGGGAACCAGCCCTTTGGACTGACACTCATGGTTAGGTTCCCCTAGGGTCTAGCTACCAGCAGTGTCAAAAGGGGCTCAGACTTTATTTACTGAAGTTCAGCAACCTTTATATATTTGGATGCCCAACCTCATAAACAGCTGATGGAAGTAGTACCTGACCGTGGAGAGAGAAAGGCCCCTCAAACACAGCAGACCCATGTGGTAAGAGCAATGACAAAAGTAGCTACTGGAAGCTCAGAAAACGGCCTGAATCCAAGGAAGGACTGAAGTAGGGGCATCTGGGAGAAGTGTAGGTCTTGAATATGTCAGCAGGTAAAGAAGAAGTGGAAGCGCAGGGCAGCCTACGGAACCAGAACAGCAGAGCACAGGCAGGGACCCTGAAGCGACATGGTGAGGGTTTAGAGCTGCAAGCAGTTCTATAATTCAGGGATGATCTAGATACATTTCTCACATCAGATACCAGTTTTCAAACAAACAAAAAACCCAATCAATAAACAGGCAAAGGAACTGAACAGATATTTCACAGAGGAAATATGAACGGTCAACAAATATACGAAGAAATGTTTCAACATCACTAACAACTGGAGAAATGCAAATTACAACTACACTGAGATTTCATCTCACTCTAGTCAGAATGGCAATTATCAAGAATACAAGTGACAATAACTGTTGGTGAGGATGTGGGGAAAAAAGGCACACTCATACATTGCTGATAAGACTGCAAATTGGTGCAACCACTATGGAAAGCAGTATGGAGATTCCTCAGAAAACTTGGAATGGAACTTCCAGTTGATCCCGATATCCCACTCCTTGGCATATACCCAAAGGACATAAAATCAGCATACTATAGTAATGTAGCTACATCAATGTTTACAGCAGTTCAATTCACAATAGTTAAGTTATGGAACCAACCTAGGTGCCCTTCAACAGATGAATGGATAAAGAAACTGTGGCATATATACACAATGGAATATTACTCAGCCATAAAGGAGAATGAARTTATGGCATTGGCTGGTAAATGGACGGAACTGGAAAATATTATGCTAAGCGAAATAATCTAATCCCCCAAAACAAAGGCTGAATTTTCTCTCTGATATGTGGATATTGACTCATAATGGGAGGGGATAGTGGGAGCAGTGGAGGTTGGGGGAGATGGGAATAGAAAAGACAGAACAAATCAGATAAAACTTTCCTATATTCATATATGAATACATGACCAGTATATCATATACAACCATATCATATACAACCACAAAAATGGAAAGTTATACTTCATGAACATATGATGATATCTCAAAATACATTCTGCTGTCATGTATAATTAAAAATAATAATTAAAAAAAAGATAGCAGTTTTCAAAGGTAGGGCCCAGAAAAGTACAGGGCTTGGGAAGACTGCCCTTTTAGATTAGTTGATGAGGGAACTGGAGCACGAGAGGTCAGTGCTCCTGGTGTGACACATGGCTGATTCTGAGATTCTGTACATGGGCCAGACATTGACACTTCTAGCAGGGCAGTTGAGGTGGAAGAGTTTGCTTGAGGAGACACCAGGGGATTCATAGAGTTAACTGGGATTGGGTGGAATGGTACCAGGCATAGGCCCCTGGTCAGAAGAAGTTCCAAGGTGGCTGTCAGGTACATGCAGGTTAACCTGCTGCCCTGGAGAGGCTTCTTAGAGAAGGTCTGGGGAAAGGCTTGCCACCCGAGGGGTCAAAAGTCAAGCAAAATGGCTGTAATTAACAATCTCACTAGAGTGTGGTTCCTTGTCATAGCACATTACAGAGCCTGACAAGGAGCTACAGCAGTAAATTAATTTCACAAACTGCTCAGCATCTACTTTGACCAGATGCCATACTTGGAATTGGGAAAATAAACCAGGAGCCCACAGTGCACTGGTCCTAAACAGGGCTGGCCCAAGGAGAAAGCAGTCAGTGTGGGGGATGGGCTGGGGTGGGATGGAAATAGAAGGGCCAGAAGAGAAGGAACCACAAGCCTACGGCAGCAATGACAGCAGAGATCAGCTTGGCGGCATGTGCAGGGAGGCAGAGGCAGGTGCTATGGCTGGCCTTCTGTGCCATGTCAGGACAGCAAGGCCACTCAAGGTTTCCAATATGGGAGGGGCATTGTTAGATGTGTGTTTTCCAAAGATCAGCCATCGAGGAGAACTGATTCTAGGGAAAGGAAAGGAAGCAGGAAGACCACTGCCATGGTTCAGGCTGCTTGTGTCTGAGCCAGGGCAATGGTATCAGGAACAGAGGGGCGAGGCCAGTCTTGATAACCTTTAAGAGGTAGAATGATAGAACTTGATATTTGGGCTGTAAGGGGTGAGGGGGTGGGAGGAGTCACAGATGAATGGATAAAGAAACTGTCTTAAAATGTCTAAATTCCTATTTAGGAGATCAGTGAATGTGAACAGACAGCTGGCTGCTTTTCTGAGGATGATGAGGGGCTTACAGGTGTTGTGTTCCCRGGAGGTCTGCCTGACAATGTGGGCATCTTCTCTTCCCCATAATTCACAGCTCTGGATTCTAGAAGAAGAGCCTCATTTTCTGTGCCAAGGCTCTGGTTTATGGTATGCAGGCTGGCCCTGCTTTGGCTCTGATGACCCTATGAGACCAGAGAGGTCATGGGGCCTGGGTTGTGGGGCTGGTGCTTTATCTCCTCAATTTGTAAGGTGGTAACTGTGAGCCAGCCTTGCTACAGGCCCTGCAGCTGGGGATCACACTGATAAATTCACTGTATTACTTTGCACAAATCAATATCCCAGCACTTACCAGGGGTTGATGTGACCGAAATTGGTTTCAGCCAATTCGTGAGGGTAATAAATGGCCATTTATCAAATCAATTCATTCTGYGGCACTTCTCTGGCTACCCACCCTCATGGTACCCATGGGGTGCCAGGCTCCATCAGCCAGTGCTTAGTACACATGTGATGCTATGCCAGAGGATCACGGAGGCCTGGCCTAGCTTCTAGATGCACCTTACTCCCCTGTACCTGTTTTGGTTTTGAGGTACTGGGTGCTGTGTGCCATCACAGTTCTAACCCACAGTGCCTCATCCTTTGCCTGGTCCTGTACCTGCAATCACCAGGCTGGGGTCTAGGAGCCTCTGGGAGCTGGTCACAGGAAATGAACATGGCTTGGAACAGTATCATGAGACTCCAGTTATAGGGATTCTCAGCAAGATAGGTGCACAATTACTGCCTTATAAATGGAGGTTGAGCATCAGCCCTGCTCAACCTGGGCCCCAGGGGCCACTCTGTCTTTTCTAGGGTTTTTGTAGACATAGCAGGGTTGGTCTACATATGATGGCACATGGAACAGGGCCTTTCCACTGACCCGAGGCAGATTTCAGGTAACAGAATAGAGGTTTTAAGTGGGAGGAGGCACTCAGGGTACACATTCTGACACATCTTGGAGGTGAGGAATTGAGTCATCTACTCTTGCTCTGGGCCAACAGTAAAGACAGGCAAGATGGGTGACCCATCAGAAGTTAGTGTATAACCAAGAAAGTGGTGAGATGGGGCTGGGATTCAGTCTAGTGGAAGAAAACTGATCTGAGCTTGACTTTAGGAGCAGAGGATTCATGCCAGGTGTGGCATGAATTGCTGTAATTCCAGCAATGTCCGAGGCTGAGGCAAGAGGATCCCAAGTTTGACACTAGTCTGAATAACTTAGTGAGACACTGTCTCAAATTAAAAAATAAAAAGGGTTGGGGATATAGGTCAGTGGTAGAATGCCCATGAGCATCCAGTAGTGTAATAAAACTATAAATAAACAAAAACAGCCTTAAGGCTGAACATCTTTTTTTTTTTTTTTTTCCTTCTCCCAGTGTTAGGGATTGAGCCCAGGGCCTGACACATTAGACAAGTGCTCTAACACTAAGCTACATCTCTAGCTCCCAAGGCTAAACATCTTAAGGATAGGGACTAGGCTGCATGGCAGACAGGAAAGAATACATGCTTAGAGTTCCATGGTCCTGGACTTGGTACCCTACTACACAGGTGAGAAAACTGATGTTTAGAAAAGCTGAGGAGGCTGAGATGCATGGCAGGTGAGTGACAGAACAGATTGGTCAAATTAGCTCAGTATCTCCCTGTTTCTGCGGAGTGTCATGGCTTGTGAACTTGAGGAGCTGGTGAGAAGTAGGAGGTCAAAGGACAGCAGGTGGCCTGCTGCAGAAGTGTGTAAGAAGCTGAGAAAACACCGTAAGGGGGCGGGGGCTGTAGCTCAGTGGTAGAGYGCCTGCCTCTCACATGTGAGGTGCTGGGTTCAATCCTCAACACCACATAAAAATAAATATATTAAAAAACAAAAAACACTGTAAGGGCCGCTTCAGTCCTGGTTCAAGTAGATGAGAGACTCTAGAAGGAGGTGCTTTATTAGATCTCCACCCAGGTAATCAGTGTCTTGAGTGGGCTATGCTTCTCCTTAACCCATGAGGGCTCCCAGAATCTCTGCTCCCTTCACCTCTGACATAGCTTTGGAAAAGGAGTTGGGGTAGCAGCTGGGAAGAGATCTGCCTCCAGACCCCAAGGGGACAGTCTGGTGTGATCTGGCCTGCGTAGTGGGGCCCTGTGCATTCATAAAAGTTCTCCCCAGCTCCTGTGTGTGCTAACAGGCCACTTTCTGACCTCTAGCTGGGGAAGCAGTTTCAGTCTATGGTCTCCTTTCCTCTGCTGATTTGGTCAGATCCCTGATGAGGGGTTCACATGGGGTGAGATGCTTGGAGAAATGTGTCAGTGGGACTGGTCAAGACCTCCCAGGGCAGTGAGTTTAAACTCCAGCCAAGCATCAGATCACCCGAAGAGCCTATTAAAACACAGATCCCAGCATCTGATTCCATAGGTGTGGGTGAGGCCTGAAGTCTGAATTCTTAAGTTCCAGGGGAGAGTGATGCTGCTGGGCCAGGGACCATGAGTGGAGAACTCCTCTTAGGGGAGACCCTTTTGCTTTGCCTGGCATAGGATTCCTCTTTTCCAGCTCATACTCAGGGCAGTTGCTGTTATAGCTATGTATAACTGTCCAGCGGACTTCACATGGGAAGGAAGGCCACAGATAAGGGTTACAATCTGGTGTCCAGGAGCCAAAGTATAGGAGTAAGGGCTTACAGGTGGGAAATAAGGCATTCTATAATTGTTTGGGATGTTTTTCCTAAAATAGGACCAGCTGAAGGGATGAGAAAGTCCTAGGCTGGCACAGAGAAACATATCCTAGTTGTAGCTGCCACACCACTAGTGATGGACAGGCTATCACCCACCTCTGGGTCTCAGGTATCCCACCTTGAGAATGGGGCAGTAGGTAGAGGAACAGATGAAGGTGAGAGTTAAAATTCTAAGCACTGGAAAGCATCCTTGGGCAAATTATTGAATAATTATTGAATAAGCAATGTGTCAGTGGGACTGGTCAAGACCTCTCAGGGCAGTGAGTTTAAACTCCAGCCAAGTTTAGTGTCTTATCTTGCTCACCTGTAAAATGGGAATTTGGTAGTACCACACTCATGGTGCTGCTGAGAGGACTATTTTAGTCCTTTCAGGATATGCAAAGAGTTTATAATAATGCCTGGCATATAGATAGTACTCAACAAATGTTGACTTTTAATGTTAACTGCCTCTCTCCAGTTTGGTGGCAGCAGGAAGTCCACCTCCTGGCAGCAGAGCATAAACTACCCTGCATTTTCCTGCACTGGTTATGGTCCTGGTACTCACCAGCACCCACAGTGGCAATGGCACTCTCCTGGCCAATGATGTGCTCCTTCAGACGCTGTTCCAAGGGGAAGCGGCGCCGCTCCTCAGCTTCACGCTTCCGCTGCTTTTCCTGGTACTGCAGGGAGAGAGGGCAAATGGCTCAGGGGTGTCAGACCCTAGTTTCATTTTATCCCCGCAACTTAGGAGAAAAACACAGTCGTGGGACTACAGGGGTCCTGTGGCACAGGTCTGGTTCATGAACATGAGAGGATAACTTAGTTCTTCCCATYCTCCCCCTGTCTGTCTTGCCTGAGAAAAAAGCCACACCTTGCCTTCAGGGAGCCCCAAGTCAAGAGCAGGCAAGGCAGGGTCTACAGACAAATGCTTCTCAGACAGAACCACTTTCCTCATGGTTTCAGAGCATAAAGGCTTATCTCTAGGATGGTACTACACCAGACAGCTTGTAAGTCGCTCCACTGACTCCGTCAGAGCTCCCTGAGGGCAGCCACTATCTTTCACTCTTTGCTATTTCCAGCACAGGTCCTGGCCCAGCAGAGACATCTTGTGAGTATTTGCAAAACTAAATTTGATGACAGATACAAAGAGGAAGCAGCTATGTGGGTGGTGCAGAGGCACAGAGAAGGGAAAAATACACAAATATGGAATATTTGGGGGGATTTCTGGGAGATGGAAGGCTTGAAGAAGCTGGAGGACCATCTGCTGACCAGGCAGGGAGGGCTGAGGGTATGGTCCTGACAGGAAGGCATTTCAGGAGGTTAGGAGCTGAGGAGGAAGTAAGCAGATCTTGAACTGGCAAGGAAAGACTGGGTCTACAGGAGGTTCCTTTCCCTGGAGCCCATGTGACACTGACATCTTTCTAGGAAGAGAACTGTCAAGGTAAGGCCCTGTCACAAAAGTTGTGGCTGCAGATTGTTCTTGCGGGCAGAGTGGATGAAAAATACCTGCTGCTTGGGCAGTGTTTTCCTGATACGGTAGTGACCTTGACAGAAGTTAAAAAAAATAAATAGCAAACAATCCAATTTTGGCTGTTGCTATCAGTCTGTAACTGAAAGCTCCCATCAGTCCTGGGGTTTCATATGGAGCAATAATTCGGCGCCRATCCCAGTGGAGCGACGCTTGCCGGCTGGAATCCAGAGTGTCACTGTGCAGCTCCCTCAGGCACCACATACATCACCTGGCTCTGCCGACTCCAGCCATATATCTGCCTCTTCCTCCTCCCTGCCCAGCAGCCCGCTCAGCACTTGGGTCTGTGCGCTGGAAAGCTGATGGGGAGATGCACACATTCTGGCTGGGACAGTGCTGGCCTGCACTGTGGAGTCTAGAGGGGAAGCTGGCTTGCCCATGTTTCTGGGGTACTTTAGTCACTTCTGGAAGAGGCGGCTACGGGCCAGGCACTGTACTCAGCCCTTTATACACAGGGTCTCATTTAATTCTTATTGTTGTCCCCCATCTGAAACTTGACTCCTCTCTGGAGCACAGTGAGCCAAGCTATGTGGCAGAAAGAACAAGCCTCACTCTAGACAGACCCGAGTTCAAACTCCACCTCATCCATTTACCAGCTAGCTGACCTTGGAAAGTGGGTTCAACCTCCCTGAATCTTAGTTTTCTTCCTGTAACTTGGGATATACTCACCTTGCAGGAGCCTTGTGGGATGCTGATGAGGAGTAAATGAGATAATGGACAAAATACTTTGTCAARTCTATAGGTATAAGTGGTAGTCTGGGCTGGGGTTGTGGCTCAGTGGTAGAGCACTTGCCTAGCATGCATGAGAGAGTAGGTTTGATCCCCAGCACCACATTAAAAAAACAAAACAAAACAAAAACTAAATAAATGGTAGTCCAACTCAAATGGCTACCACAGTACCTGGACTTCATGAAGCTTTTGATAAATGTTATTTCTTTTTTTTTTTTAATATTGTGTCCATCTTATTTTATTTATTTATTTATTTTTTATTTTTCGGCGGACACAACATCTTTTGTTTGTATGTGGTGCTGAGGATCGAACCCGGGCCGCACGCATGCCAGGTGAGCGCGCTACCGCTTGAGCCACATCCCCAGCCCGATAAATGTTATTTCTTTCCCTTCTTCTTCACTGAATTTTGATAACTGATTGTCTAACTTGGTACTTTTTTGGGGGTACCGGATTTCTTTTGACTAATCCAATCATTTTGGAGGTCCATGAATAAAAAGAAGCATTGCTCTGGCTTAAGCAGAAGCCAGGAGCAAAGTCCTCTGTGTGCCCCACTGCCCCACAAATGGCTCTGGAGGCTCCCTTCTAAAGGAACTTGCTGTGCAGCTGCAGCTGCAATACTTACCAGGTTCTAGAGACTTCACTAAAGCCAGAGGCAGCTTATCTCTGGCTGACAGTTCTCTCTCTGGGGCTGAGAATTCTGCCTCTAGGTACTTTCCATCCACTTGTCTCTGGGCCTCAGAGAACCTTTTCCCTTTGCCCCAGGCAAAGGCTGTTTTGTTGACTTGGGTATGACCACTGGGTCCTCCCTATGCCTTCTCCAGGGAAATAGTTCTACTTCCTATAACTCTTCTTCAGTATCCTGATTTTAGGTCTTCTTGGTATCATATCTTCTTGGGCAAGAGGAAAAAGTCCTTGCTTTCTATTGGGGTGAGCATTGGGGAAAGGTTACAACATGAACTGAGTTTCTCAGGCATTTTCTAGATGGTCTTGGGAAAGGTTCAAACTATGGCCTATATCTCAGTATATCCCGATTTCCTTAAGCCTGGAATCTCAAATACCTATGCCTAGTCAGAAAAACCTCTGAAAATCAGTCTTCTTGATAAAACACTGGGATTACACCAGGTCAAAGGGTATTGCTGCATGTTTTTCTCTTAATGTTTGGCAAAGTTTATACTAAATACTGATTAAATGAATGAACGAATGAATAAGTGAATGAATGGCCTTGTGGAAAACTTATCAGTAGAAGAAACTAGAGAAGGAAAAGGCTTGGCTTGTGCATATTCATTTGGGAGAGGGGAAAAAAGAAGGATGAGATGAGATTGGTAAGGACTCCACAACTGTAGGCTACTGTCATCCTTGGCGCTTGGAGAGATGGGAGGGAGCCTACAGGACTGAGCTCAAGGCTCTGCTTTAGTGGGGTTCCAGGTATATAGAKAAGTCAGGCAGGTAACCCAGCCTGCTGAAGCAGAAGGCAGTGGACTGAGGCACTGTGAAGGGGACGCAGGAGAGCCGGAGTGGGGAGTGATCATCCTCTTAATAAAAGCCATGTACAATTAACTTCAGAAGCTCTCACCTGGAGCTGGCAGCAGCCAGTTTCCCATGCTGCATCTTGGCTGGATAATCGCAGCCACTGGTTTCCATCAGTCTTGATTTAATATGGCACCCCTCCTGGCTGTGAGTGCATTTACAGGAAAGGGCTGGGAGGCCGAGGCGAAGCCTAGTTGGGCTTGCTTTGCTCAGAGGTGGGTGGCTGGGCTGTGGGGGAGGGCTTGGGGAGAAGAGGTATGATAGGCATCCTGATAGGTGGGCATCCCTAAGGAGGCAGGTCTGGCAATCAAACTGGCAGTGAGAGGGCAGCTTGGGTGGGGGTGGTRAGTAGGCAGAATAAGACTCCAGGCAAGAATGGGATAGAAAGAGATGGAGGAGAGAAGAAAAGCCAAGTGCAGTTTGCCTCTCATGAAGAGATTAGGCCTACAGAGCCCAATTTACAGACAAAGCCAGATATGCCCCATACTCCTGACTTCCTGGTTCAGACCCTAACTCATGTCACTGTCAGAGTGTCTACTATGCCTTCAATTGGAATGACAGAGAGGACAAAAAAAAGGACCAAGGGGTAACATATGAGGACCAAGGGGTGTGGGGGGTTCAACAAAGAAGTCTAGGGGTGGCAGAGTAGATGGGAACATGAGACTGGAGGATCAGAGAGGTGCCCGAGTGACTCCTAAAAGTCTACTGAACGAGCCCACGAAGTATGCATGCCTTTAGAGGAAGGCTAGACACAATGCATGTGTCAGCCCCATCAAATGTGGTGACCACCAGGTCAGCATCTTGGATTCCATTTTCCTCTCCTTCTTTTGTTGCTAGAGCAATATTTTTAACATGTCAATGCCACTGTGTCACACCTCTGCAAATAACTCTGTTGATCCTGAGATAAGACTGGTAGAGACTGAGAGGGGCATGGAGTAGCTAAAGTGAGAAAATGAAAATATGTTCTCAGAGCATCATATCAAGGGCATGTGATACTGATTCATCCCATAACTGTAGATGTTAACCTTGATCACTTGGCTAAGGTGGTGGCTGACAGGGTTTTCCACTACCTTTTTTTTTTCTTTTTAATATTTTTTTTAATTGTCAACAAACCTTTATTTTATTTATTTATATGTGGTGCTGAGAGAATCAAACCCAGTGCCTCACACATGCTAGGCAAGTGCTCTACCACTGACTGAGCCACAGCCCCAGCTCTTCTACTACCATTTTTCCTATTTGCAGTTAATAAGTATTTTATAGAGAGAGACGGACACTATGTAAATATCCTGCCACTTCTCAAACTTCCATGCACTAGCTCTAGCATCTACTGGTGGGTCTTACCAGATCAGTATTTTGATCCTTACAACTCTATGGTAAAGTTGATAGTGTCATCATCCCCACTGTGGATATTAAGTAAATTCAAGCGAGGTTCCACTGGCAGCAAGCAAGAGAAGAAAGAACACTAACTTTTGCAGGCTGATTCTGGAGCCTGCACTTTACATCTGAGGATGAGAAAAGACCTGTTCCCTACATGCAGGTAGCTCAGAGTCTATTTAGGGAGATGAGATTTAAAACACAAATTTCCTATTCCAACTTCTAGTCAGGGCTACCTAATGAATTTATTGAAAATAAACACCAGAGGGTRTTCTTGCCAGAAATACATAACCTGAGTTGAATCATAAGGAAATGTTACATAAACTCAAATTCAGGGACATTCTACAAAATAACCAGCCTGTACCTGTTAAAATGTCAAGGTCATGAAAGACAAGGAAAGACTRAGGAAGTATTCCAGATTAAAGGAGACCAGAGAGACTGATTACTGAATACAATTTGGGATCCGGAATTTTCTTTTCTTTTATGCAGAATTATTGAAATACTGGTGAAATCTGAATAACA